ACAGAAGATTCTGTCAGAAACGTGTTTTAAAAAAACGTCGTGTAGTTTCTAAAACTTTTAACATGTAGGTATCTGCATTCCACCTGTAGCCCCTCATTTCCCTCTCTCAATTCACGTAGATGATTTCATGATAACAAAATCCTATTCATTTTCCTCCAGAGACTCTGATGAACTAGTCTTCGCTGATTTTGCCCACCCATTTTACCTGAGCAAGGGAGATGTAATGAGGTTTTGGTATGGAGAGTATTTGACTAACCACGTCTCCAGTTACAACCAGGGTCAAGTATGTTTCCACGTCTTCGCACTATTTAAATAACTACGGGAACGTGCTGTCTTCATGATAAAGTTCACAAGAGCTTTGATGTCAAGTCTGTCTTAAGCAATAAACCGATTACATTTTGGCTTCCAATAAACAGAGGTTAATAAAGGGCATGTTACGTATCTACACTTAGTTTTGTCTTTACTTATTTATTCAACAAATAAGTTCAAAGTTACAAAGGTTTAATTTAACTACTACAGATTGTTAAATTAGAGCCTTTTTCGCTTGAGTGTTAATAGTTATACTTATTTGCTTTTGTTTTCCACTGTCACGCTGAGTGATTGGCTTAAAATCTCGCGCCACTTCGTCATCCAATCAGAAGTAAAGCCAAAACGTGGCTCGCTCGCACACTTTGAGCTTTGACTGGTTCACTGGATTGTCTGTGTAATTGTAATTGGGTAGAGCTCGAGTGGTAACTTTGAGTTTCGTTTGCAACACTCAATTGAAAACAGTTCTATTCCATGAAGTTATCGCTATAAACTACACAATTTTATTTACAACATTTATGCACAGACAGGTGATTTCTGCTACGATTGTTACCCCAGTACTGATTTTCGCTAGTTCATAACCTTGTTTACTGCAAGATGAAATAATTAACCCGAACGCGTAGCTGCGTAATCCCAAACAAAATTCCTGGCCGACCGTAATCATTCCGGTCCTAATATTGTTATTATTTTAATTCGTCATTTCTATCAATCATTTCAAGACTCACTGAGAGAAAGCATGTCTTCATTCTCTCTTCTTTAAGTCCTAGGAGCGGACGGAAAAAAATTGTTACACTTTTGAGGAAAAGATTGAAACTACAAGGCAATTTCTTCTCGAGAAGCCGTTATCCTTTAATCGAGAACCCAAGCCCATTCGCGATTCATGGTTACTCTGAGCTACTCTTATTACCTGACAATCTAAATTGAATGCTCAGCGGGACTATGCTTCAAGCTCGCTGTCGGCCAGAGGCCTGTGTCTTATGAAGAGTTGCGTATAAATTCTTGCAGTTTGTTTTTTTCTCCCATCCCTTACCAAATTGGCGGATCCAAGATGCATTGCCCGTGACGTTACGCCGCAATTGACACATAGTCACGGCCACTAATTGACACTAAAATGAGCATTTGTTGGACATTATACACACCATTTAAGTTCAGTTACTATAGCGTAAATACTTGAGGGAATGCTTGCGGGCAATTTCTGCATCCCTCTGTCACCCGCCGGGCTTAAGGACGGAAAAAAATAAGCAAAGCCTGAGTAACCAAGCTAAGAGTCGGTGTAAACAAGCCTGTTCGATTTTCACCAGGACATTGCCCGTTTGTCTGTTTCGTCCTCTTACACTTATCCTTCGTTGCTTCGTTATCCTTTTGGTATGGAGGATTGATTTTCTATTACAATTTGTGTCCCTCTGATTGAGAGTCATTGTCTGTCTTTTTCATGAGACTTATCTGCCTGACAGACTGTGGCAAGGAATCCGTGTCTTTCTTGGTCTCAGATAGCTCATACACTCCTCTTCTACCTAGGCCTGCAACTTGAACGTACTCCATGGACATACCCTGAGTTAAAGTCGTGTTCGATGTCGTATTGCTTCCTCGGGATCGCACCAAATTCTTAGCAGGGCTAAAGCAGCTCCTTAGGACGTCCACATAAGCGCGGCGGAAGTTTCTGTTAAGTGCTATGTACAGGTAGGGATTGATGGATGAATTCCCCTGTGAGACGCCAAATGCGATCAATTGCCACAAAGAGGGAATTTTATAGTACGTCTCTCCATCGAAATAGATGAAGAAGTGCATCAAATGGGCTGGCAGCCAACACAGAGAGAAAACAATAACGATGATGATGAGCATTTTGATTGTTCTCTTCTTGCTCATTTCTGCATGTCGGAGATTTGCGGCGCTCGGATTTCCAGGAATCCTTCGAATCCAGAGCTTAAATGAAACAATACTGTAGAAGATAGCAATGATGAACAAGGGGACCAAGTAGAGAGCGATAAAAATAAAAGCGAAATAAATGCGCGAAGCTTCCCAAGACCTAGCCAGAGGCTCCCAGCTCGCATAGCAATGGTGATAACCATCCTGTAAGATTAACGACTTGTAGTAGTACAGGTAAGGTGACATCGATAGGCCAGAGAGGACCCAAATAACGGTGCTCACCACCCAAATCTTGCGAATAACGCTGGCGCGTTTAAAAGGGTACACCACGGCGAAGAAGCGGTCCAAGGCGATGACAACTAATGTGAGAACGGAGGCCGCGATGGACAGTGCAACTGAGAAATGAAGTATCTTGCACGTGATCATTCCCATGATCCCACCGAACCAGCGACTATTTACGTACATATACGCAGCCGAGTAGGGCATGGCGCTGAACGTCATCAGGAGATCGGCTATGGCCATGTTAGCAATGAGACAATTGGTGACGGATCTCATGTACGGCTTTGTCAACACGATGAAGACCGTCATGACGTTTCCGTTGAGAGACAGGAGGAACATCAAGCTGTACACCAGGAGGACAACGATCTGGTGTGTGGTCGACGGTGGGGCCAAAGGGTCCAGCTGAGAAGCGGCATTCGAGGAATCTCAAAAGAGAAATACATAAACGTGTGTTATGAAGTGAAGAAAGTCAGAAGTTTCCGATATCTTCTCATCTTTAGCAAATACAGTCTTTGTGTATGAAGTGCAGAAAAAATAGGAAATCCTCCGAGATTTTCAAATCCTTAGATGTACATTACTTTAACATCATTGAAAAACAACGAATCATTGCTTTGCTCTTTAGGACGTGACTTCGTAGACAAACCTGCAATTAAGTTGAGAGTACAGCGCCCAAAACATAATTGAGTTACCCTTTCGGCTGCGAACTGGTAACAACCATAGCCAAATTGGCTCTGTTTTGGAAAGATTACATGTTTTAATCCTGAACCTTCAGTTTCTTTTAAACTGCGACGGTCATCTTTGTCTAAATCATTCTTCACACGTATGTATCAGTGACATGCCTAATATTTTCTTTATCTTTGTATATCATCTCTAGATCTGACAATAAAAACCACATTACAAAATGAGCGGACACGAACGCGGATATATTGCACAATTACATTGTTAACTTGGAAAAAATTGATTCACAAAGCCCCAATTTTATATGATTCTACCCATTTTAAACCACTTTTCCTTCCAATCTAGTAATTTTTTCTCAATGACCAAGATATTAACGCTCGTTTACGACTAAACATCTTACCACGAAGCATATGCGGAGTGAGTAGCTAGGCGCAATAGAATTAATTGTCCCTGGTGACGATTTTCATTCATTAAAACTCTCTAAAAGTGAAGAATATTTAGAGTACTTACCGTTTGTGCTCGATATATTCATTTGTATGTTTCAGTGCTTGATCCCAGTCCTTGAATTTTTCGATAATCACAAAAACCTTCGAGAAGAAGCGAGATCAATATTATAAAACCCAGACTGTATTGTAGGTGAATGTATTGTGAATGTTCAGCTGATTTTAAAGCTCGCCCATTGGATAATTTCCGTGTCAAACGATATGGCATCCTCGCTACCAATTTAATCGATAACAGACTTCCATTAAGATCATGAAATAATTGCTATTTTTCTTCAAAACTGATCTTTTATCATAGTTTGTTTGCTCGATTATAAACCCACTCCCCACAAGAAGTCAATAATGTTAGTTGTTATCGATTTTTAAAAAACGTCGCACGTACGTAAAGATATTTTTTTCTTCCTAATCAAAAAAAAAAGGCAATAGGTGGCTTTTAGGTAGCAAATGATGTATTGTGAAATATGAAGAATTGCCTTTTTAGAGTTCGTTATTCTTCAAATTCTCAAAATACCTAGATCCGCCTTGTAGAAGAGTGTGATTTACATGTTTCTCAATTTGGCCGACAGCTTGAAGCACTAGCATTGTAAGACATTCACATTTCTCTGAAAATACTTACCACAAGGTAAATATGAGGGAAATAATGGATGTAAATAAGTAACGAACGTGCTAAATGTTGCTATTTATTGCCGGTTTGTTCGTAGTTTTCGGCAATTGGATATTTTTGATGGGTTTTACAATTTCCTTGTTTAGCGAAGACGCGGCACCACGAATGGAAATTACATGCATTTGTCGGCAAGTTTTAAGAGTAGCGAACATAGTGGGTAAAATAAATGATTTTTGGATCCATTTTAATGGTTCTAAAGTGTTTTACCCTGAAAGGAAGCAAATACGAGGAAATTACCAATAGCAACAGACATTGATTTACGCAATTGCTCGTGGATATACCAAAAAAAATGCTTTTCCAGACTTCGATAACACATAATTAATTAAGATGGCGTCACTGAAAATTAAAATGCGGTTTATTATTTCTTTCTTGGCAAACGGAATTAACTTGAAGAAAGTTTTCATAATTTTTTTTCCAGTTCAGAAGAATTTCTGACTATTTTTTCGTTCAAATATTAATTTAAATTGTGTAAACGAACATTGGGTAATTTTCTCTTTCAAAAGGCATGACCGCGCCTTATGACGTCAGTACCTTAAAGAGAGTGCGAAAATTGATTACTTTCGTTATAATCTTTCATCCCTTTCAGACCTGCACCCTTGAGACGTCTTAAGAGGTCTAAGAGGAAGTGTCTGGATATTTGCGAAGAGCAACAATAAAAACATGTCAGAAGAACAGCCGAATATACTTAGCATCGAGCTATTATAGACAAAACATGAACTGAGGCTAATATCGTTCGTCATATTCAAGTTCATGAAACAATTGGAATTCTTTGTTGCACCAGCAATTTTCCTCAGATATCACCTGGTAAAACAGTTGTTATTCCCCATTATCACGTTCACGTAAAATAAATAATTTGTTTTCTTCTTTCTGCACTGATTTCTACGAAATTTCTAAGGCCCTGTTCACACTACGTCGAAACAATTCGAAAACGGCGTTTTCAGACTTTTTCACTTTGAAAACGCATCAAATGTTTTCCGTCCTCACTACACCGGAGAAATTTGAAAACACAACAATCAATGGTCATTTTTGATTTATGTTCGAGGAAAACTCGGACAACGAAATCATATGATTATAGTGATATCACCGTTTCCGAAAAGCTCCGTTTTCAAAATGTTTTCCGTTCACACTTCAAAGCAAGGCCGGCGTTTTCAAATTCCTCCGGCCGATTTAAAGAGCGTTCTCGAAAACTTTCGTTTTCGTAACGGATTAGTGCGGACCGTAGAAATAAAGCTGCGTTTTTAAATTTCTCCGGCAGAGTGTAGCCGTGGCCCCAATAGATAAGGTGCGTGGTTTCTCTTTTCGAAGTTGATATCTATCCAATTACATGTATGACACGCGAGGAAATGTAAATTTATCAAAATCTCCACGGGAAAATTCGCTTGCTGGCTTTTTTTGGCTATTTTTCATGTGCAATTTCTTCTTTAAATTCATTCAAACTGTATTCACAGTAGTTTTGAAACGATGAATATGGAGGCAACAAGGCAATATAAAACAAGAAAAGACATGAAAAAGTACAAAAGGGCTAAGTTGTGGAGATGTGTTCAAAGGTGAATCTTTTGCTATGGAAGGAATTAAAAATCTTTAAACATTGAAATCTGGCACCAGTTAAAACGAACGTCTTGCTTACAGGCTAACTCTTGATGCTTTTATATTTTAAAATAGGAAAAAATTACTCGTGACATGCGGAAATTGAAGTTCGATCATTTGCGTTTTTGTAAACGGCCTATTGTTCCCTGAATCGATCAGACTGCTTGAAAATTTTTTCAGCCTGAGTTTATCTGCTGTGCGATATTGAAACGACAAGATGTCAAACGCTGGAAATGTTCGTAACTACCACCGCTTTCACGGGTATTGAAAGTTGTTTGTTCACACTTTTCTGAGAATAAGTGCCGGCTCGCACCTGCTCATTTCGAGCTTTTTTTAATTTGAAGATAAAAAAAAAAAACTTTGCTCCTAGCCTTATGGAGACTGCTGTGAAAGAACAATTTTTTTCTTGTTGCTGTATATCTATACTTTCCGAAGCCCTGGACAGACTTTCAAACAATGTATTAACAGCCCTTTTAGCTCTTTTTCTGTCAAAAAAGTGATAAGAGAAAACAACAGCAGCCTTCTTTTGTTTACTATCACATTAAATCAATATGATCATGACGATTAACCGTACATTTTTAATGTACATTCGATTAAAAAAAAGGAATTTTTATGTGAAAAAACCACTAAGGACCGTTCTTTGTGGTAGAAATAATGTCTCAAGAGATATGTGAATATAATCAATATAAATCTGAATATAAATGAATTTAAATGTAGACAATACGGTGGACAATATGTGGACAGAACTTAAATATAAAGTTTCATTTTTCTTTCCACCTTGAGAGGTGGCGACGTATTAGAGAAGCGTTCCTAATACAATTTCGTTCGGACGTGTTCCTTTCAAAGTTTGATTAAGTTGACAATATGTTAAGCATTCCGCTTGTCATTTTTTTTAGCTCGCAGTTGCACTTGATATTTTCCGGGTACCTCTAAACATTAATAACGAAATGAAATATTCAGCTAACGAAGAAATTTTTTGCTTTCAATCTGAATACGTAATTAAAAGCCTACTGTACCTTTTTTCAGAGTTACCAGAGCAGGGCAAGTATGTCTCTGTTGATGCTTTTCGTGAAATTAATACTCGCTGACTGAAGTGACGCACTTTTATAAAAAAAAAGTAATTGACCCAATTACGTCGTGGTGAAAAAAACGCAATTGTTTTACCTGTCACGATCAAATTGTATTTGTCATTTTGTATTCAATCTCAAGTAAGTAATCTCGTTGAACTTCCGTTTATGAGTATTTGTTTCCGATCTGTGAGTGATAAACGTTCCGCTGTAATCGCGATTTTTCTCACATTTCAGATGGTAAAAAGAGCAAAACGTGAACGGCAGAACTACTGTTCGCGAAAAATGGACAAATATGCTCTTCCATTTGATTATGACGTAAAACAGGTATTAAATTTGACGGTAGCTTCTTTAGCCTTTTATACAGATGATGATATATGCTAAAGTAGAATAGTAACGGAGAATTAAAACACAATAAATTGCTCATTCAACTTCTCGCTTACGTTTGTCATTAAAATTGTTTTTATCTACTACAATATTTGCCGCCCAAATTTCATTTTTCTCTGCAGGAGGCCAAATGAAGATATCGCAACTCGCCGGATAAAAATGTTAATCCTTCTATCGGAAGGAAATTAATGGCCAGGATAAAGTGGGGCATCGGAAGTTTTGTTGTCAATATTGATTTCGGTATCTCTAAACTGACTATTAGTGAAGTTGTAATTACAATGACGCGTTCGAAATTTGCTTCGTGCAATTGCTTGTTTTAAACGAGTGCCGTGAAATAATGACACTTGAGAAGTTTTAGTGTTCTGGGTTAAACATGCAGTTTCAAAGTTTTAAGGCTTTTAAATTTTAAAAGGGTTTTATTTGTAAGGATAACGAAAATCTGGCCTATCCTCAGCAGATCAGCTTTTGTGTATAATTCGTGGACAGTACAGATAACTCAGCATTCATCAAAAAATTATAACATAGTATTGAAACTTCACACATTTTACAAATGTTGTTGTTGTTGCTTTTTTTTTTCGTTGTCGTTAAAATTATCAAGTTGAGGTTTATCGCTGCAGTTTTAGAGCCAAATTCATTGATTTTTACTTTGTGATAGCCTATATTTTAGTTTTAGTAAGGTTTCCACTTCCCAAAGGCGATTTGGCTATTTATTCTCAAGATAAGTTAAACATTATGTCACTGGGTTTTTTAGTTGGTATTGGGTTATGCCCGGCTGTTGTGATAGGGTTATAGGTTTAAACTTCAAAAAAGGTTCACCGTTTCTTAATGAGCGTTGTCTAGAAAAGTCTTCATCCCATTTTATGCTTTTGATATACTCCAGTCTGGGTTTTATTATTATTATTATTATTATTTTATTTTATTTTTTTTTATCCCATCACTATTAGTAAAATCAGACCAATTATTCAGTTCCTCAATTCATTTTTTCACGACTTTTTAAAAATCGATTTTTTTTTTCCTTCGAACCATTGTCTTTTTCAGTGTACAGTCATGGTCTCTTTACCGATATGTCTATCTCTCTTATCTCGCGGCGAGAAAGAATTTATAGACCTCTATGTCATAGACTTCAAAGAATACTAAATATATATCAAGAGATTATCAAGGTGAGAGAGTGAATCCCCCATATAGGCCTTCTACCCAAGGTAATCCCTCGTAAGTTATTTTCAGACATTGTACCCAGTTCTTCCGAGGATGTTACTCGCGCGAAGCGTGGACAGCCGAAGCGACTTTCTCGAAACTACCCGAGACGAAATGGCGAAACTACCTGAGAAACTACCTGAGACGAACGTCGTTTTATACGTTTTGGTTTCGTTTCATACCAGAGATGTTGTCTGCACTCNTCCGGGACCCGAGTGGCGTATTTTCCGTATGTCACCTTTGTGAGTGTCGTATCGTTCAATGACGTCACGATTCCCGCCTTTTACTTTTGTTGAATTGGTTTCAACATTTAGTCTCCATATAATAGAAAGAACATTACACGTTGACTCGAAGATATGAATTTTATGTTCTCGTGGCAAGAACACGAGAACATAAAATTCATATCTTCTCGCCACCGTGTAATATCCTCTATATATACATGTATTGCACGTATAATAATGATCATCGAAAACCAATAGTGTTTGGCAAGGTTTAAAAGTAGTCATGCTTGGTAACCTTTCCTTGTCTATTTTGTGTGCTGGCAGAATAGCAAACTTGCCAATATCTGGATCTCATTTCTAAATACGAAAACACACATTTATCATATTAAAGATAGCGGTTTGGTAGGATCCTTTGAAAGCGCGTGTTAATAATTCATTCATTGTTAGCGTATACATAAAACAGTGTGCAACAGCTGCCGTATAAAATAAAGTTCTTAATATAAAGTTTCGAGCTTTATAAAATTAACTTCTTTGGTGCGATGCAGATCTTCCTCGGCGTTGACAGCGAGGCAATTCCAAGAAAATCTAAGAGGCTGCATGAGCACTCCAAGGTTACTCGACTCACCTTCCTCTTAAGAGCGTCCCTTTTCACTGGAAACAACTTTATAAAGAGATAAGATGGGCGTATGGAACGCTCACGGGTGACAGATTGACATAAAAATGACAGCTTATTAACCGTCCTGCTCTAATCCAAACCGATGGTAGAAGAGATCCCACGAAAACCACTGATTTATAACACCTGACAGCCATGAAATATTTTTCCAAAAGAAAATTGTACAAAATAATTGTTTCATGCACAGTTTGCCGGCTGACTGACATTCCTGCATTCAAAATTGGTCATTACTTCGCTGACTTAGTCAGAGTCGAGTTTCCGGCATTTAAGGTTCTTATTCTAACGGTTGACATTAAACTATCAGTGGAAAGAAACTTGGGGTAAAAGTGTTTTGATGACATAACGCAGGCTTAGTTTTTGGATTATTTTTCAGAAAACATCATCATTTCCTGAGCGAAAATTTAGGCACATTTCATTAAAACACTACGAACAAACCACCGACTTGAAACTTTTGTATCTGTTTGTAGTTATCAGTTGTTTGTATACTATCTGTCGAAACTAGAAGAGAAGTATTTTGAGTTATTTTGGCCATGTACAAATTACCTTTACAGCGAAGGAAACCTGAAAATAGCAGTTTACTAAGATAGAAAAACAGCAAAGAGATAATAATAAACCATAAAGGAACAAGGATGGTTAAGGATGGAAAAGATTAACATGGATTACAAACCGACGAACTTGAAAATTTAGGCTTAACTTTTCAAGATGCCAAACCGTGACGTAGCTCCTTTAACGTCAGACATTTAGACGAAAGCTTGTTATTTGCGCTTATATATTCGATGTCCTTTCGACTCAGGACTGAAGTCGAGTTTCGTTTCGAACGACAGAACTGGGTTGAACCGCCCGTACCCCATTGTCAAGACTTATTTTCAAATTTTGGAGAATAAAACTATAGCTCAATTATTTACTACAATTTAATGGCCAGAGATAACACAAAACCGAGATAAAATACTATACAATTAAGAAAAGAAAAACCATAAGGATGGTCAGCAAAAGAGGTGACCAATTACCTCAAAGAAAGCTCCTTGTTTTAATGTCCTCGGCACGAGTGGAGTCGTTACTATCAGCACCAACACCATTTCTTTCAATCACAAACGTGCGAATAGTTGATGGCTTTCCAAGAGACGTTTCAAGCTGGATTCAGTCTGTTCCGTTTTGCATATTTTAAAATTTCAGTGAAAGCCGTCTGGTCGACAGTTAAATTTTGATTGGCAGCACGTGACGTTTGCATATTTAATTGTCGCTTTAGTCCCAGTATGCTTTTTATAGCATGTTCGGTATATTATCTGACCATCAGGAAAGTGGTATTTCTCTGTACCATCACGCAAACATGTGATAATTGCACTGTGACGTAAAAAGAAAACGACGCGGTTAAAAATATCGAGAGACAGGCGGCGAATCTCACGATTCCTTTATTCCAAGAATTAATGCCTTTTTGTTTAGTCAGTCGACGTTTTGTTAGCAACCACTTATGACTACCCTTTTACAGGGCGGCTCTAACTCAAATGAACAAATTAATTGGACTTTGAGCACCATTTCTATACTAAATTTTGCAAAAAGCAATAAGCAATGAAAAGAAAAATATAAATAAGTGGGTGCAAAGACAACTTTTAACGAGAACCAACTTTCAACTGATAGTCATTTTTGGGCGGCGTAATTGAGGCGCCGGTACGGTGGACAGCATCTAAAAAGGTCTCGGAGCTTATTAAAATGACAACGAGCGACCATTCGCATCATAATGTTTGCAGATTTTGAACACTTCTTCTTCAGGTGAACAAGACAAGCGAGTTTTTTTTGTATTGGTGGAAACATATTCATCCGTCACTTGGTGTTCATGATTAGCATTTAAATTAAACTACACCTTTGAACGGCTGCCATGTATGGGTTTGTTCTTTTTTTTCGTTAAATTCTGACTCTAAAGAATTGTTGATATTTCCGCTGGGATTATACCTAGCTGTGAGCAGTTAGTTTCTCCTACGCCGACGGTGCTGTTCGCAGTGTACTGGGATTCATAAAAAAAATGTTTACTAAAGATCGCTCACGTTGATACCGGGACAACTGGAAAAAATGAGATTGAAGAATTTGTCCTTCAGCTTAACTACTTGTCATAATTCAGGATGCGAAACTCTGGAAATAGATCTGGTGGGGCGTACGGCAGACTGTATGGACACAAAACGACAAGCAAGAAAAGGAGATAAGGAGATAGATAATCTCCTTTCGTTAAAATATTCTTAACCTCCCACCACTCTTGTCAAGAGATCGCCCAGTCTGAATCTCAGTTTCCTACAAGCAAAACGCGACGTTCACATTCACACAGTTTCTTGCAATACCCCAAAAAGCCGGACCGCTCGGTAAAATTTTGAAAAAGATATGAAGCTCTTTAGAAAACAAAAATAATAGGATAAACACTGTTCCTGGTGTCCCAGTAGTTTACATTGTGTCCGTTAAATAAACCAGCATTTGCAAATAAACAGAAACTTGTTAAAAATCACAACTGGTTGGAAGCAGACAAATTGACTATGTGCAAAGAGAAAGAAAAATATGAGCCCGGGACCTCCGGATTGCAAGACCAGCGGTTTTCACAGCTCGAACTCAAATCAAATCACAAGATAATCAATCTCAGTATGTCGTTTACATCCCTGTTCTCATACATCAGACCTCGCGCTGCCTATTTCGCGCCTTTCACCAAGGCCAATCGCCTGTGGACGAAACAGGGAGGAACCCGTTTTGTGTACTGATCATTGGGCGAGTGTAGTCGTCAACAACTTTAATCCGTTATTATGTTTTCGGCTCGAATAAACTTTTCAGGAAAAACCACCTACCACCAAATGGTCTTCCTAGGCAAGGGAAGACTGTGTTAGTTTCTACGATTTCTTTTCAGCTTTGCAACGAAACTTGGCTGCACATTAATTTCGATGTTTTTATGTCACTAACGTGGACTCAGTATTGCATGCAGTGCAAAAAATTAAAAAATATATATCTTAGAGTGCAGAATTTGGATATTGCTTGGTCTGCTAAAGTTTATCCACAATCGACGAAATAAATTTTAACTGAACACAAATCAAAACTTTCAGTGAGATGGAGCAGCGGGCCCATTGAAACCAAGAAATCCCTAGGTGAACTCTTTATAATTTTGTGGGAGACATAAGTTTTAACTGACCAAACACCCAAGAAAAATACATTTACCGAATGATGGATCTGAAAATTTCATCTGGAGCTCCTACAGTCTATTTGCAAGAAAATATACGATTTTACGGTGAATATGATTTCGGTTCGGCTTTCATTAAAAATGTGTTCTGTGTGCAAGTACTTAGAAGCTCTTATGCGCGCAAAACAAAAGGTTTGTTGTATAATGGGCGAGAGAGCAACTATCAAATGTAATCGCAACTGTGACTTACTGTGCAATAGAGAGTTCCCTTCGCTTTGTTCGTTGTAGCCAGTTTTCCGAGATAATTTGAAGATTTGTGGTTTATCTCACTGAAACTGGGTGTTGAACTGAATAAAATCAGAGACTTCATCTCTTTTAAGAGAATTCCAATCACAGGCACACATCTATTGACAGGTTAAAGTTGGCTAATTTGCAGAGCAAACTAAATTCAGACATCACATATGGTATAATTCACACTTCCACGAAAAGTCTTGACAGATCCAATGGCCACTTGTAGTAAAATCAATTTTGATTGGTAGATTGAAAGAAATCGCATAATTGTATCATTTCCACCAATGTTGGCGCAGCTGCAGTTTGTTATTAACTGATCAAAGTGTAGTAATTGATTATAAAGTTTAAAATAAAGTTCGTTTACACGGTAAGGCTTGTTAGTGAAACAAAGGGTGTTTTTCGAATTGTTCAAAAGCTGATATCGTACGACACAGGAGAGAGACCATCAATTTTGATCTCTACTTCCGAAATTGAAGATATCCGGGGTGTATTTTATAAATTTGCCATTATTGTTAATTTACCTACAGGATGTAGTAGATAATTTGGAAACCTGGTACAATTTTAGATCATTTATCTCGTCGAGACGGTAGTAGAAAATGCAAAGAGATCGTGTCAACACCTTCAACGCCAAGCAGTGTGTAGTCACGTAGTTTCTGTCGTAACAGCAATTCTTCGGTTGGTTGTAATTTTTTTTTTTTTTTTTAAACCAAATGATACTTTTTTAACCTTAGTGTTCAGAGTTGTAGAAATCGTGAGATCGTTCTTGGAGGCAACCATTGATTAAGCAAACGCCTGTTTCAAGATGCAAATTACATCCATGCAGCTAAATACAAACATTTCCTGTCAGTTGCAGCGGTATATTTCATTAGCATCCGTCGCTTTTCCCCACGTAACACCCCACACCACCCCCTTCCCCAGATTTTCCTCAGGGGATCCACGAAGAACGGTCAGGAATCTTGTCAAGGGCTGGGTGTGAGTGGGGTGGATATGGCCACTCTAAGGCTAAAAAACACACCAAATTAAAAGATTCGTGCGTTTCGAAAAATATTCGAAAGATTATAACAGCAATAGGCACCATTTGACTTTGAAATGTGTTCGGAAAGTTGTCCTTGGGCATTATCTGTCCCTCGAAGCTCGCAGTGTTCTGCGAGCATCGCTCTTGGAAAACTGTTCGCTCCTCGGGTAAATATTGAAGCACATTTCGGCGCCAAATGGAGGCTATTGTTTATTTATTACTTTCTTCTAACCTACATGTACTGTAACTTGTTGTAAGTATTATTGCGAAGTAAGCGAAGTAATATTTTTTCCTAAATGTAATGTCTATATTTATGTATAAAGTTACGATTATTAATAATAATAGTAGCAATCTAAGTAATAATGATAAAAAATAATAACAATAATAATGGTAATAGTTTTAAGCACAAATAGCAACAGTAATGAAAACTGAGTCAGTTTATTATCTGATTAACCTGAATTTATTAGCATCTTGTTTGATGTTACAATTACTTGTAACTTGTACTTGTAACCACGTTCCATACCTAGCTCCCACAGTTCGAGGGTTTCAATCTAGACACTTCATACACTCAAACAGAATGCAATAACTCTCCAGTTGATCAACTTATAAAAATATCAAAAGTTACACTGTATGAAAGCTGTCGCATCAATAAATATAATTCACAGCTCCAAGTCAAGAAACACGTTGAATAATCTAATTTCTCAGAAATCACAGTGTTTCCCTAAGAACAGCTCTTCCTAAGTTCATCAGCCACTAGTTTAAAAACTTGTAAAAATATCAACAGTTGCAGTGTAAAATGACAGCTGTAGTATCAATAAATATTTACAGTTCCAGTTCAAGAAAGCCTTTGAATAATGTAGTTTTCTGAAAAATCAGTGTTTATTTAAAAAAGGGCTTTCCTTCTTCATCAGCCCTTACCTTAAAAGCTATATTGTACTTTCTAACATGGCCACGTTTCCTTTATTCTATGCCAATGCCTCAAATTCACTATAGAATTAGTAATTTCGTAGTATCCTTAACACCCTATGAAGACCATGAAGTGGTACAGGAGGGGTCATAAGATAAGAGGTTGAAGGGAGGGGGTGGTCTAATTGAGTTTTTAGCTGTTAATTAAAGTTACTGGCAACTTAAGTTTCCTTGCCTAGAAAAATTCTTGTCAAATCTGCCAGTCGACTGACTTGTGCCCCACAAAACTGACAAGCAGGAAACCAAATTAGACTATTCCTAGTGTCCATCAACATTTTAACTGTCAGTCCCTGCCTGGAGTTATTGTAAGCCTTTGATTTAAATTTAATGCATACCAGAGATAGTATTGTTAGTTCCATAAATATACATGTATTATACATGTACAATCATTTAAAAGCTGCGCTCCCTTAATATTATACTGTAAAGTTTACTTTGTACCATTTTGACTTGAGGTTGACTCACTGGCTTGTTCATCCTGCTTTGGGACGAACTGCAGTGAGTCAGAGAAGATTCAAAATCTTGAGGATACACCATCTGGACTATCTCTTAAGAACTCATGTCCCAAGCCATTGCCGCATTTGCCACAGCTTACCTATCATCACATTAATAACAAGAAGACATGAGTTTGTGGATGTAAATGTCAATAATTTTGACACAACATTGCTCTTCCCCAGGGGAAGCATGGTGGCCTCATTGTCACAATATAGTGTGCTTGACTCTGGATTAATCGGTCTGGGTTCCATCCCTGTCCAGGAACATCATGTGATGTGCTCTTGGGCAAGACCCTTTACTCTCAAATTACTCTGTCTTCTCAGGGGTATAAAATTAATGGGTACTGGTGATTTTAATGCTGAAGGTAACCCTGCGATGGACTAGCATCCCATTCAAGGGGGAGTAGAAATACTCCCAGGCTGAGTCTTCATGCTACAGAAACTGGGATAAGCACCAGTCAGATGGGCCACTTGGCTCATATACAGACTTCACCTACCTACAAGAATTGCTCTTCCCCTGATGCTCAATATCCATGCCCACCCCCACAGAATTCATTAAGGGACAGGCCCCAGACTAATTTACTGGGTATGAGGCCAATTTTTGCCTGCTTGGTTTGGCCATCTGGATGACAGTTATAAAAAAGTTTAGTTGAAAACCTTGCCTTTCTGCTGACAATGCTAATGAAAACCCTGCCAGCATGAAAGGGCAATGGGAATTCTGACAGGGTGGGGGATCTCCAATGCACAAAACACTTACAGGAAAGAGTATGAAGCTGAACTCAGGAAATTCTGAAGAAGTGAGGGTGGGGTATTCAAACCAAAGAATACCTTCTGTGGGAAGGGTATAGATATTTTGTAGAAATACACAGGCCAAGTACTTGTGTCTTGGGGCATTAAACTAGAAATATGTTGTGACAGGCCTTGGCTGGCAAATAATTGTTATCTGTCAAGAAGAAGTGAGTAGGAACTGTACATGTAGTTACTGCAAAGATGGCAAAGTTGAAGCCTGTGTACAAACCAACAGTAGGTCTGGTGGTTTATCAGGCCATCACCTAACTCTGATTTCTTTAGTACATTAGTGGTTTGCTGAAAAAGTACATTAAATAAAAATAAAATTAGAGTTCTCCAAGGTTTTGATGTTGCTGACATCATTATCAAGGTGAAACTATTTACGTGAGATCACAAGCAAATGTCTTTTATTATAGTTCCACTAGTTCCCTTAATTTGTATATTCACACCATGATAAAACCATCATTTTTACCTTGATCATGATGTCAGAAACAGCGGAATGTTGAACAACTCTAATTTTATTATTTCTTTAACTTACATGCATGAAGTACATGATTGCATTTGTAACCTGCAATCAGGTATTCATTTTGACTGAAGTATTGTTATCCCCCCCTGGATGGGATGCCAGTCCATCACAGGAATGCCACTCCCCCCTCCTTACCCAGGCATCCCTAAGAATTTACACCAAGGTATCCATTGGAGAGATACAATTTAAGAATTAGAGTAAAGCATCTGACTAAAGAATAGAACACAACACCCAGCCTGTACTTGAATTTTTGCCACCTGGACCAACAAGGCTCCTTCAATGGCAACTCAATGTCAATGTCAATGTTTATTTATTATAACACTCTCATGGAGTATAAATATATAACAATAGAATTCTGAGTGGCCACAAAACAACAAACCAAGAGACTATGTTGGAACCTCATAATTATTAATACATGTATTCATGAAGAAAATGCAGTGAAATGTGAACAAACAGCTGTACTGTTGCTGCTGTTCACATCGCTCTTGCAATTTCATCCAACAGGTTTTAACAGTCTTAATACACTGATCTTGTACTTGACTGTTACTAAGTGAGACTACAGTGTAATTAGGCACTGACAGGTACATACAGTAGCACCAAACACCTTTAGCTCCAGCTACATGTACATGTACTATGTGCAGGCGTGGTGACATAATCTTGGACAAGACATGTTACTCACACAGTGCCTTTCTCCACCACTTGCATAAATGGGCAACTGTGAATTTAATGCTAGCAGGTAACTAGCATCCCACCTGGGGGGAGTAGAAATACTCCCAGCTACGTCCCATGCTGCAGAAACTGGGATAAGCCTGAACTGTATGAATCAATGTCCTGATGCAGACTGACACCTTTTTATCCACATTCTATAATTATACCCAGTAGGATAATTCAATTGTATGATGCACAACTTAACTGTGGCTGAGGATGGATGAAATAAGGAGACAGAGAACTGACGTAATTTATCTTGATTACCAATCAGATCTAATAACAGGTAATGCACCCAATCACATACATGTACCTTCAATGCTTTTGCCTTGCTACTTTGTTGAGCTTCAGTCTCATCTTTTTTTGACACACTATCAGCCCTTATGGTCTCAGTAAATGCTGGCCAAGGTGTGTGGTGTTGGTACTTAGCTTTAGCACTAAACAATTCATGACCACATTTTGGACAAACGTAAATCCCTGCCAAAAAAAGAAAAAAAAAATACAGTGACCGTCATATTGTACATTTTAAAGGCGACTGTTATACAGACACTGCCTATTTAGATTTTATAACATAACTAAAGCAAAGCGCGCGCTCTGATTGGTTAATTTAGCATCTACTATTTGCCCATGGGTGTACGCTGCTGACGTGTGTGCTAATG